TTGCATGCTTTTACCCACATTTCCAGCTGATGAGCTTTCTTAATATCTGAAATGGTACAATAAGCAATACTTAAAACATTTTATTTTTAATTAACATGTAATAATTACACATATTTATGGGGTATAGTGTGATATTTCAACACACATATACAACGTGTAATGATCAAATCAGGGTAATTAGCATACCATCACCTCAAATATTTATCATTTCTTTGTGTTGGTAACATTAAAATCCTCTTGTAGCTATTTGAAAATAAACAATAAACTGTTGGTAACTAGTCACTCTACAGTGCTATAGAACACCAGAACCTATTCTTCCTATCTAGCTGTAATTTTGTATCCACTAACCACCTTCTACTGTCCCCCCATTCTCCCGACCCTTCCCAGCTTCTAGTAACCACTATTCTGCTCGCTACATATACATGATCAACTCATTTAGCTTCTATGTGAGAACATGTGCTATTTATCTTTCTGAGCCTGGCTTATCTCACTTAATGTAATGCCCTTCAGGCTCATCTATGTTGCCATGAATGACATTCTTTTCTATGACTTAGCAGTATTCTACTATGTATATATACCACGTTTCTTTATCCATCCATCTGTTGATGGACACAGGTTGTTTCCATATCTTGGCTATTTACTTAAAATATCCTTGATAGGTGAAAGATATGCAAAAAAATGAACACAGAACAAATGAGACACAGCACCACTAACTAGCTCCCAACCTCTGTCTCTATGTTAAGTTCTATTGATGTGACTTTCAGAACATGATCAAGCATGTCTGGGTTCTTAAAGCACATGGTCGATAGCTTCCCAAGGCAGGGTACCTGAATATGAGACTAGAGATGGATCCAGTAATGACACAGAAAAGGCAACACACTTTACACCTATGTATTGGAGTAAAAGCACTTACAGATTTTATTGAATTTAGTATAAAATTCTTATTTTAAAATTCCAATTTCATGTTATAATGTAGTACACAAAATAAGGAAAAATATTTTTAGCTAAAAAAAAAAAATTAAGATGGTAGTTATAAATAACATGACCAAGAAAGCAACACACAGACTAATTCAGTTAATCAAATTCCAAGAAATTACACAAAGGCCCTTTGTTTTTCCAAAGATGCACAGAGAAAGGAAGTTAACTTGCCTGCTTTTCTAACATCATCATAAACTCAGCATGGTGCAAAGTCCTCTTAACTTACTTTGAATCATTGCCTCCTCATAAGAGTCTACTGGACCAGTAAGGCAGAAGGTAACAGACCAGGTCCAGGGTGGGAATGTAGGAAGTGTGGTATCGGAGCCCAGCCTGGTTACGGTTGTGATGTGGGGTGGTGCAGCTTTGGGCAGCCACCTCTCTCTCTGAGCCTCCGGGGTCTCAGCAGTAGAATGAAGGGCAAGACCAGACACCATCAAAGGGAGCTTCCTGCACTAACATTTTATGCAGCTGCCTGATAAACAGGATCTCCTTGCCTGAAGGTCCTGCTCTTTGTAAGCAGCCCCTACTCCCCATCTGAGCCTCACTTTTATTCAAGGTCGTCAGAATAGAGCAAGAAGATTGTCAACAGGCAAGCCCATCCTTACCCGCAGGCAAGAGTTAAGGATGTGGTTTTACAGGCTTTTATTAAAATGGACTTTTCTGCAGCTTGTGACTGTAATAAGAAGCAACTGATATATTTCAGAGGAGGAGGAACCTGGGCAGTACTTGGAAGCAGGAAAAGATGTCACTTAGGAACCTCTGTAAACTCG